ACAAACCTACAGCAACTGACCTGATTTCACTGGATATTTGAACCTAGTTTTAAACCACAATACAGTTGGCTAATATTACAAACATACATATATCGGCGATACTGCACACCGTGCACTCTTCAATGCTGGTCGTTAATACAAAACAATCACAATTATTTTATTTAAATGGTCGAATTTTAATTGAAGTCTTTAAGTTGCAATTTAATAAATGTCATTTGAAAGTTAGCCGTGACGTTAACAACACCTTTTAGTTTAAATGTAACGTCTGTGTTTTTTTAGTGTATTTAATTCTTATAAGATTTTTTATGCAAACGTTAAAAGTTTTTGCTCAGTAATTTTATAAATTAACGTTTAATATTGAGTGTACCCAATATAAGGTTGGTTTACCCGTTTACTGCGTGAAAATGTGAACAATTAATTTTATTTTTTATCTGTTCTACTTTGTTTTGCTTAACATAACCTCTTTTTTCCTTTTGTGCGATATCTTAACATCTGTTACATTTTTCAGCACGCAACGTCAATGTTCATTAATGAAGAAAATGAGTAGAAATTCAAGCCGTAGAATTCTCGAGTTTCACGATGACCACTGTTGCACGGGAAATGTCATCGGCAATTTCCGACGCTCTTCCTCACTGCGACTGCGCGGCGAGAAAATGGTGCAGCGGTCACCATTATCTACAAGAAAATTAATACCAATAATCACGGAAAATTCACATCACAAGACCCGAAGCGATGGCTCTCGACTACCAGAGCCAAGCCATCGCCCTCGGAGCCATGTAAGTAAAAAGCTGAAACAACTTGTTACAATGTCGATGTGTCTTCGTTATAACAAAAAATATATATGTAGCTTTAAATGCGGTTAACATAATCGTAAATAATACGTTACGTTTATAATCATTCCCATAATATACTGTTGGTAATTTTATAAAAAAATCTCATTTTAACGAACTGTGTTTGCAAACTGTGTTTACAAATCGAATGTTTTAATAATATTAACAAATTAATAGTTCAATCATTGCAATAACACATCTTAATTTCTAACAGCATGACCATTGTTTCAGTCATTTAATTCAAATAATCAGGGCAAACCCAGAAAATCTTGCCTTAAACCACAAGATCCCTGCTTAGATAGGAATCTGAGTATGACTGATTCAGCTCATACCCCACCAGGGTCACCAGAAGATTTGCCAGATGATGAATCTTTGCACAGTTATGGTAGTGCTGCAACTGCTGCCTCGGTTGATGCAGGCTATGCCCCATTTAATGGAACCACCTTCAGCGGCAGGTCTATGCGATATGTCCTTCATTGCTCTTCTCATGCTGGTCTGGCAGGAGATGAATATCTTACACCAACACAAAGAGCACAGAAACAAATCCGCCGGTTAAAAGCCTTGCTATGTCAAGCTAAAAAGGATTTGGAGAAAAAGGACAGTGAAATATTCCATCTCACAAAAGAAGTAGTTGAACTACGATTGTACAAAGCTTCTATATGTTCCCCTGATGAAAAATCTAACTCTAGTGAAATGGTGACAATAAGGGAAAATGCTGGTGAAGCCTCAATAGAGGAGAGTATCAAATGTAAAGAGTCATGCAGACAGTATGATGTAACAGACAGTCCTCTGTTCAAAGATCAGACACCTACAAGATGTCGCAATGAAATGCAAGGATCATTCACAGACTCTGGTCATTTTGAAGATTTGACAAATTCATCATTACACTCCAAAGAGTCTGTTTTGCTCACAAATGATGCGTCCTGCATGACTGAAGTGAATGATAGTGAAGAGGAACGGCGCATTCTTATTTCTTATTATGAAAATAAGATTGAGACTATAATGAGATCTCATGTAGGGGACACACAAGAACTCAAGAAAGCCCATAATGATAAAGTTGAATCATTATTACAGAAGTTGGCAGATGTTAACACACGCTACTCAGAATTACTGCCTAATTATGAGCAAGCTAAAGAGAGAATTCATATATTAGAAAAACAATTGGAGGATGCCAGCAAACAACTTGAGGATGAGGAGGGCAGGCACCGTGCAATGTACCTACAGATGTATAACAAAGGAGTTGAAGCTGCTAAATTTGAAACAGACAAAGTGAGAGAGTAATCTTAGTGTTATAAGTCACTTTTCTAATTTCATTTGTGTATTTTAATAACATGTTATTTAAATGAATTTATCTTTTGCAGGAAAGCGAAACTGATGTATCACAAGGTCAGCTAAACCGAGTATCAGTTGAAGAATTACTGACGCAATTGCAAATTACCCAGACTGAGCTCGAAAATGTCAGAGTAAGTTAACAATATAATAATTGCAATGAACTTTCCACCATCTTAACCCTCCCTATTAATCAATGCCTTAGCTAATTTATTATTAACTGTCATGTATTCTCCAAAATATAAAGTTACAATATAACTTTCATTCTTCTCTCTATTAGATATGCTAATACTTGTTGTTGGTGCTAATTAAAGTATAGTTCATTGAGGATCAGCGAAAAGGTGACATTATTTGTGTCAACTATTAAAAAAAGTATAGATGACATGTGTAGTTGCAATTAACAAGACCAGCTTTAATGTGTAGTGAATTACAGGATACGGCATTCACAACGGACCGCTCGACAAAGTCACAAGCACTTCTAAGTGCAAAGGAGGCTGTTTCTTTATGGGTCCTAGGAGCTCGCAAGGTTGGAATTTTGTATCGGAAGAAAGAAATTTTGTTCACATTTTTTGTATTATTTCTTTCACTTTGCTTCACCGCACTGGTCAGAGATCTTTATTTGTGTTAAGAGTAAATTTTTTTGTTTCTCATAGGTGGAAGGTGGTGTCGGATTTTGTTAATCTACTGGATATTACAAAAACTTTTATAAGAAAGTAATGTAATACATAGTCCGTCCAAAAAAAACTAATTTTTGTGTAACAAATTAATTAATTTACCTGCATAGATATAATAATGTTCTAATATATTTTATCATTATTAATTATTAGCAAATTTAATAGCTTTATAATAATACTTTATTTATAGAATTTCAAGGGCTAACAATAATTAAAGTCTGCTTTATTTAAATGAGGATAAGGTACATAAATAACTTGTAGCTTTTTACTTTTAACACAAGATTAATGCTAATAATAATTTATTTGCATGTGAAATTATGAAACAGCCTCTTTTGGTTCATGGGTTCCAAAAGTGCTTGAGAATATCCATATAGGTATTTTCATTTACTTTTAGTACTTTTGTAGTAATTTGTGTAATGAAGTTTGAAATTCATTCCTTATTTCCATAAAAGTAGCTTCTGTAGAACCTAGTAACTATGCCTTATTTGCCTTCATACCAACCTTATAACATACTAATTACTATATTTTTAATATGTTAGTAGCACATTCTATATCCTGTAGTTGCACCTATAAATGTAATTATTTTTCAGGCAATGTACCGTCGTATTGTGGAGTCGCAGAAAGGCAATAAGTCCAATGTAGACCCCGAAGTAACACTACAGTTCCTGAAGTCAGCTATATATTATTTTCTCACGGATCCAGAAAATCATCAAGGTCATCTCAATGCTATTGAAAATATTCTCGGCTTTACCGAAGCTGAAAAAAAGAATATCCGCAAGGCCAGAGCAACATAAGTTGATTCAGGGAACTGCTGTGAATGTGTGATAATTATTTTCTCCATAAGTAGGGTACATTTTAATTTGCTACTTAGAATTATTATTGAGCATGTCTTAAAAGACAATACATAATGTCATAATAATGTTTATTGAGAGCACTTTATTTATTTAAGTTAGAAGATACTTATTTTATAGCATGTAATGCACATGATCATTTTAGCAAAGATTATAAAATGTATAATCTTTTAGACTAAATTTTCTTGATACGAATTATAGTAGACATTTTTGTGATTTTATTTTCTATAGTTTGTAAGCGCCAAAGATACATTCCTGAAATTTTAAATTGTGCAATTTTTGACTTTATTTTTAGGATCCAAGAGTACATTTGCTATAAATTACATGTGGTATATGACAATATTTTTAAGCGTTATTCCTCTGATTTGTTCCTCTTTTTATATTTTATTCTTATTTTGTTGATTTTATAATGCATGTCATAGAAAACTATTTATAAGGGAAAATATGACAATCTCGCATAATTTAAATTTTATTTAAACATTGTAAAAATGTTTTTTTCAATAACATTGAAGATTGTTTTCGAATAACACAATACTATACTTCTATAACTAGTATTAATTTCTAAATAAGTATTTGTTACTTAGTTTTTTTGTTATTCTGATTAATCTTCATAAGTTATTAGTTCATTAAAAAAGTTACTTAAATCTTGCCACTAAAGCTATGTCTGTGATTAGTGCTTGTGATCTATTTATAAAAAATTAAATATCTAAAGCCAGAATAACTTTTTGTACTCTTTTTGATTTGAAATTCAAAGAAAATTTATGTATAATATTGATTAAAAACCATCAAATGATCATTAAAATATCTACTTAATTACTGTAAAATAGTAAATTACTTTGATATAGGAATGATCTAAGACTTGCCAATTTTCTATGCATGTCAAATTAAAGAGATTTAAGACCTTGTAGAGGCTAAACTTAATATATTATGTAGGCTCCTTTCCTTTGCATTATCTTGCCTGCGCTAACATAATAGCATAAATAATAGAATATTTATTAAATCGTAAGTATCAGAATTAAGTATTATCTAGGAAATCTAGTACCTAAGTTAATTAGGTATTTTGTTTTTCTGCTCCTTATAGTTTGACAATCGCTGGTCGGATTTCGTTTTTTTTTTGTTTTGTGACCCTACTTTTACCTTTGTTTTAAATAAACAAGGAATGATTAAAAAGTTGTTTTATTTTCTTCTAAATTACACTTAAAATGATGCTAAGGAAATAGGAAATAATAGGTCACATTTGATTAAAAAAAGGTTTAAATAAAACTGCGGTTTAGCGTAAATAATTAAAGTTATTATTTCTAAACTGTTGGTAATCAATTCATTATATTATTACACAAAAAAAATCAAAATTTAAAGCTGGCGCAGACTTTAGAGGTAATAATATCCAATTTACAGACACTTGGGTCCACCGCAGATATCTACTACCGTAACACATACAAAAACCCTCTCAATTTCTTTGAAAAATAAAGAAAACACTATATGTTTTTGTCCTAGTGTTTCAGTGAAAACACACGATAATTAACATTGCCAACATGTTGCAGAGTTAATTATCCAAACATTGCAGGCTGTGTTTACGCAATCTCCGTGACCGACATTGTTTTACACAACTCTATAAAGTAGCTTCTCAACATTCATATCGCAATTTTAATCCAGTAAAGTGAGTTAGGTTTTTTCTCGTATGTACAGTCATTAAAAAAATATAATCGAGTATTTTTTTCACTTTCATATTCCTTAGTCGTATTGAAGTACAACAGCAACTTTTACTCGGGCAACATTCAATCATCACACTTACGGATACATTTCTTAAGCTGCAAAAAACTGCACACTGCTTTTCACAACATTTTGCACAACAAAAAACTATTTATCACAACCATCTACAATCTTTGTACAACTTTAAAACTAATTGTCGTTCAGTGTTACCTTTTAAAAATAGTAAATCTGTCACTTATCGTAAAAAAATATATAAATACCGTAGTAAAAATATTCAAAAATTTCATATAAAAAAATATACGAACAAGCTTAATGTTTGGCATACTGCGAGACATTTGAAGACATTTTTTATATGGCACAATTATATTAGATTATTGCGTGTTTGTCATGAATATGAGATTCTGATCAGTCTTTCGTTGTTTATGATTATTTTTAGTGGCCGGATCATGAGGTAAAACTGCATTTTAAGTCAGGAAATTCGTTTTAAGCTATGAAGTCATAATTAATTTGAACTTTTTCTCTTAATAATAACTTATATTTAGTACTTGATAAATCTTAGTCATTACTTATATTTAAATGATATAAAATTTCACTCCTTAGAATCATGTTCACAGAAACTTGTAAACTCATCTCATTCAAATCCATTTACTTCATTCATACATTCAATCAATTATAAAAATATAACCGTAATTTCATATTATTTGGATAAAATTGTGTGTAAAAATAAGAATTTCAGTCCAACTTGTGTCAACTTACCATATTATATAGTTAATAAAAATAGGAAATGTCAAACTTTTTGCAATATTAAACGTCCGTAGAAGTGAAAGCACATACTAAAAATCTTATATTTGTACTATTATTGAATATTCTTAAAAAAAATAATGCAGAAATGCCATTGACCAGGTGTTAGGAGTTTTGAAGTCAAGGCAATATTCTGTTAATTAAAATCCATCCTTTAATATGGTGAAAGTTTAAATGCAACTTATGGACCTGTCTGTGTGTCTTAACAGAATTTCTAAAAAATTGTTAGTAAATATGTTTAGATTTGTGCAGGTTACCTTGTTGTATAGGTGTGCTAACATAACTTTAGGTTTAGACTCAATCAAAGCTAAATTTGACCTCTTCCCTGGAGGGGTCATTATTAGCAGCCATAGCTTGAAGCCAGTATCGACTTATCTGACTCTCTATGGAGGGTGTACTTTCCTTCCGCGCGTTCGCGGCTCTTGCCTTTCGTTTCGCTTTACTATGTTTTGTTCGTCGTCTGCCGACTTTTGTCTTCATTTCAGCTATTTTAACAGATAACTGGCTGTCTAGGGAGTTACGACGTGATTCGACAGAGACGTGACGTAGACTGATGCTGATCTGGGAGTCCTGAGAGTTGCGCCTGTCAGGAGTGGAGCTGAGCGAGTGGTGCGTGTGTGCGGGCAGGACGAGGGCGTCGCGTCGCCGCACGAAGCGAGGAAGATTGGCTGCCCATGATGATGATAGCTCACCACTGTAAAGGAAAATTAATCAATTATAAATGTTTTTCAAACATCTTGGAGGCATGAAAATATGCAAGGCAGAGGGAGGATACATGCGCAACGCACAGTAACCTCGAGCCGCCGAAAAGGTTGATACGGCCTATATTTATCTTTTTCTTATTATTCGTATACTTGAAAATGGGCTAGGACTTTTTTGAACAATTTCTATGCAAAACTTTACTTGGCCGCCTTTTGTATATTTTAAAGTACATCAAATTAAATAATATGCTTAATTTATATTAATATATATTATAATTGTGTAATATTTTCTTTTTTTAATAAATTAAAATTAAAAACTTCTTGATATGGCGAACTTGTAACACGAAGATTTATAACCTATCTTTAATCATCATGCAGTTAAGCAAGGCTGTCTTGTAATAAGTAATTATTTCAGTACATTTTACAACAGCCGTTGCCTGCGAAGCGCAGCGAGTCGATTCGAATTGAAAATAAAAAGTATCCGTCTAAAAGCGAGACTCGTTTTATCATTAGCTACGGGTCGTTGTGCATCGAATAGATTTGATTGGGGTTAATGGACGCAAAGGATTGCATGGACGTATTGCCTTTGTTTTTGCCATGGCCTCATAGAGTACTAAAGTTTTGTGTTTTTTTTTTCATTTTTGTTTTTATAATAAACATTTATCGAAACAAATCGAATTGAAAATCAATAACAATAAGTAGCGTTGTAGTCACTGACCTCTATTTATAGACAGACTATAAGCTTTGTATTTTGTGCCAATTTGTTTTTTTGATTTTGACGCTGATGGTTGCGATTGGTTAAGATGGTGAGAAATGGAACGAATAATCATAGTATAGCGTGTGTACCTCTCGTGCTTGTCGTCGGTGTGGCAGTCGATGGGTGCGCGGTCGAGGCCGAGGCCGACGGGGTCCTGGCGCGATGCCCCCAGCGAGATGGAGATTCTGCCGCGAGCCGCGAACTCGCCGCGCCGCCGGTACGCGCGCGCGATCAGCTCGTCCTTGCGCGCGCGCCGCGTGCCGTCTGCCTCCACCGAGCAACCGCACTTTCTAACACAATTACACTACATTAAAAAGTACAAAAAATACCTTTTTACTTTTAAAAAAGCTTACCGTGAGTTTCCATTGCCGGAAAATTTGTACAAAAACATGTAGACTATTTTTTTTTGTACACAAGTATCGGCAGTACTAACTCACAGGTAACTAACGTGGTAGCAAACATCCTCGATCCGTTTTTTGATTAAACCCACAATACTTTAGATCGCAGTAAAAATAACCACTTAATTTCTATAATTTTATTGTTTTTAATATCTTTCGCGATTCCGGTGATCTCCAGCTGAGAAAACTAAGATGTCTCTCCTTTCTTTATCGAAAAAGATTGGTAAACAAATTGTCTACCTAGCCATGTAGCGTCTCCAGGCGGCTGCAGCGGCCGGGGTCCACGTCCAGGAAGCCATGAGCGCACCGGCGGCGAAGCAGCACAACAGACGCAGCTGCAACACCGACACCGACGGCCGCGCCCCCACTGAACACTCCATTTCAGACTCCTTCAGCGCCTCCAACCGACATCTGGAACACATCCATGTCTTTATTCAATATAGACAAATTACCTAATCTTAGAATATATAATATCAAAAAATGTAAAAACCTCTTGATAAATTTAGATTGTAAAACTAAATGCTAAAATGTATCTATAGTTACAAATGGATCATGATCAGTCAAGTTAGTAAGGGTACTTACTAACTTCTTAGTCCTCCTCTTTCTGTGCGTCCCTTCGGTGCGGTCGTGTATATGTACAAGTGTCCGCCTGCCATTATATAGACGATAGTTGTTAACTCACATGATATTCTTCATGAAAGCATCCTTCCAGGAGTGCGCGTTCCTAAACTCGTAGACGTGACATGCGACGGTGACGGTGATGAAGACTGCGACGAGCGCGGCGGTGAGCGAGCAGCGCGTGATCGTCTGCCGGATCTTGTTGGCGGCGCGCGCTGAGATCACGTCCTTGCTCGATACGCGCACGGCAATCAGTGAAAACACACCTACAAAATACAATAACTGCCATGACTCCGTCATTACATAAATAAATATTAAGATAATGTAAAATCTTCTAGAGAATGATCTCCATAGACAAAAATACACAACCATTTACTCTAAAATATTTAAGAACACAATATTTTTAACAATTACAATAAGATACATTTCTGAAGAAAAACCACTTAAACAGTTAGAATCTTTAATATTATACAAAACAAAAAATAATAGCATTTTTTAAAGTTAGAATGAACAAAAAATAAAATCAAACATACCACGTAAAAGAAAGTATCCACCGAGTATCAACACAACAGAGAGCGGAGCTAACAGTAGTGCAGCTCGCATTGGATGATTGACGTAGCCGACGAAGCAGATGCCGGTGACGCTGCTGCCGTCCACCTCGCCGAACGCCATCGTGGTGATGGTCAGCACCAGCGGCAGTGACCACGCCACCAGGTGGAAATACGCCGCCTTCTTGTCTATCCTGTCTTGTATTTTACCTACAATCAAAAAAATAGGATCATTAATCAAACCACCCGAATAAAACATTTTTTTTTTCGGATTTGGGTTTTCATTTTATCTTTTCTGCCTATTTAAAGGCATCTTTTAACTAATTGTAATCAAATGGATAAAATTAAGTAGCAGTTAGCGCATTTACCAACCTTTAGGTACTACTAAAAATAAAACTTATATTCATAGTAATTTTACTCATAAGATAAAAATTAAAATAAAATATTAAATATATATGCTCTCACCTAATGCTCTAAAACTCATATGCCACGCGTATGTGAAAATAACGAACCAAACGCATGCTGCCATCATGAAGTAATATACCTGGAAATAAAAATATTTAATAAATACACTATAACTTTAAATAAATTATTGTAAAAGTAAAACTAGGGCAACTGATAACCTGACTAAGCACATTTACAGAAGGCGAAACTTATAAGTATTATTTCTGCATAAATGTAGTTAATAAAATCAGTTATATTGTTCTCTGAGGACATAGATAATTAATAAATAATTCTATTTAAACCTCTTTGACTATACAATTTTGTTTTATATTTTATTAATTATTGTGGATATATCTCCACTTACCAAGACAAAAACAACAACACAAGACAGGTTTTCTTCAGCGGATGGCTCGCCACGTCTTCTGGTACCGTCTTTTGAGCATACAATGTCATCTCTTGATCCAACTCCAAATTGTACCAGCCAACTAAAAAAAATAAATAAAACATATTAAACATAATGAGTTATTAGCAGACCCTAAGTATAGATTTCTCATACTAAATCTACAGTAAAATACTTAGTGAATCTTATTATGACAGAAAATAATTTTGTTTTGATAACCAAAACTTACCCCATCGAAGCAACAGCAAAACACACATTTATGTAAAAGATGACAAGAGCTGGATACTTGTTAGCACTACGCCAATCAATAAGGAATGTGGCAACAGTCAGAAGGTTAAAAGCCAAGCAGACTCCTGCACCCCATGCTACCAGTCTGTGTATTTGTTGGTGTTCGTCCTCTGAGTACAACGGGTCACGGCAGGGTAGTCCACATCCTGATATACCTGGAACATAATTAAAAACTATTACAGAAAAAAAAATTCAAACAAAATACTGTAAATATTTGACAAAATAGTTTTAAAGTATAAACATTTCACAGAAGTTCATTGTGCTATGGTCATTTTGGTATTACTTAGACATGACTACTTTTACTACTATTAAAATATTTAGTGATTAAAAAAATTACCTTCATAAAAATGTACAGTTTTATCAGTATGTATTAAAGGTGATAAACATTTTCCAGATGTATTAAACTTCATTTCTCTAGCTGTATTATCACATTTTGAAGGAAACCTTGTGGTATTGCATCTCAAAAATGATGGAAAGTAAGAAGTATTGTATAAAATAGCGCAAGGCTCCATTGTTATTTTGCACATTTCATATGAGGGAAGATACACCATGTCTTGTCCAAGTATTCTTTCACATTTAGGCATAAACACGGCACACAATAACGGTTGTACCACAGCCCAACATTTCGGTACATTTATCAATTCCCTATACAATTCCAACTGATTTTGTATTTTATTTTGTGTATCATAGAATGTTAGATGCACACTTGTTTTATCATATGGTAATTTAACACCTAAACATGTGTTTTTGCCTAATGTTTCACATCTTGCTTTGCGGACACAACTATCAAGTTTTATTTCTCGTTCTGGAAACCATTGTGTGGCTTTCTCCGGTTTGATTAGTCTAAAGTTTGGTGTTCCATTGATGGGTTCCAAGCGTTCTGTCGCATTGTCTCCAATATCTGTTATGGAATTTTTATCACCTCCTGTGTCATATTGGCTCGCCGTACATAATGAAACCATCGCCAGCCAGTACACCCATCTCCAAAACATCTGCAACAAACACATCTCATTGAGCACCTACATATAATTAAACTAAAAGGGTTGAAATAAAATAAAAATTAAATGAAAACTACACTTTGATTTTATAAATGTTCCTTTATTTATGTAGGTGTTAGAGGGCAATAGCAAATGAAACCCTTGAAGATTTTATAATTTTATTTTTCTACAAATTGTGCTATAAATGAAAATTCTATATCGAAGCACTAAACATGTTACAGAAACCACCAGCATCTAGATTGGTTTATTGTCCGAGGAAAGTGATAAGGATATGCATCAGAAGTCAGTACAAAAACATTAGTTATTTATACCCGCAAAAATTGCTTAATAGAAAATGAATAATAAAATGTTTTTCTAGTTTATTTACCAAAACTATTTTAGTAGCAAAGTTTGAGGCATTTTCATTTTACAAAGCTGGCAAATCTATTTAAATCCACTTGCTTAGTTAGATTGAAGCATTAAGTGATTTATTATGACTTTGTTTTACCAAGAAATATTGTGGTAATATCAAATGGAAAAATATACTAAAATGAAACTTTATTAAAATGTATTAAGTAACACATTTCATACCAGCATATTATTCAATAAAATTTGTTAATACTCTTAATTTTCCTTTGTAAATAAAAGTAAAAGGTTCCTAAAATTTTGTACTGACTGATTTGGAAAACAAGGATAGGATATCCCTTGGATAGGTTTTCTTTATTTTTACGTGTTTATTCCCACATAAACAAAAATTTATATTATAATTTACATAAGGTAATTAGTTTTTTTTTTAATAATTTTTATTTCTTTATTAATAACATAATTCAAGAAAATACCAGTCTCTTACTATAAAAACGTCGACAAACTTCTCCGCCTTGGCCGCTTCTTGCTCTGCGAAAATGTTGGTCAATTCTTCACTCTTCCAATCTGCAGCTTTCATAAGATTTACTACCTCCCAAGTGTAAAATTACCTGGCATAGCAATAACATAACTTTAAGACCTTTTTCAATTTTTTAATTAACATACAAAAGAAACTGATCAACTCACCAGAAATTCCATGCAAAGAAGGTCACCTATATGTAATTGCAAAATAATTTTTTGACATAATATAAATTTATTATGTTTTCATCTTACCATAATAACAAAAGCCGTAAATAATTATGTACAACCATTTATCGCCTTCACTATATTTTTACACTAAGACACTTACATTTGAATTCATGAAAAATTTATAGTCTGTGCATGCGTTTACAAAAAACATGTGCTAGTTAGAAATTGATTTGTTGCCCCTTCTAAACGAACGATGAGCACCACCACCCCTACGAGTCCAGGGGGAACCACGTGGGTTACTATTACCTCTACGGTTTCCACGATGGCCATTAATACCACGCCCCCTACCTCTATCCAGTGCTCTGCCGCGATCGTGATTTCTACTATAATCATTTCCTCTTCCTCTATAGTTACCACCCCACCGTTGGTTTCTATTAAAACTATCATTCATATCATTATCGCCATTGTCATCATAATTTTGTTCAAAGTTTTCTTCTTCATTATAATCTTCATCTTCTTGAGAATATTGTTGATTGTCATAACCGGAATCATAATGATTCTTAGTGTAACCATTGTCAGGAAAAGGAGGAGGTACGTTGCCCATAGGAGGCATACTTCCCATGGGAGGCATGTTACCCATTGGAGGCATACTACCAATTGGTGGCATATTGCCCATTGAAGGCATACCAGCCATGTGGGGTGGTGGCATATTCATTGGTCCCATTGGAGGCCCCATATTCATTGGCATTGGGGGTCCCATTAGACCCATTTGGGGCATACTATTCATAGGTCCCATGTTGTTCATTTCTGAACCATTGTCATAATTATTATACTGTTCTTCATTATTTTGTTCAGTGAGAGAAACATCATTTTCCTCATCATAGAATTGGTCATCAATGTAATTTTCTTTTTCTTTTTCTTCATCGTCGGGATTTTCAGAATCAGGATTATGGGTAGGATATTCAAATGGTGTGAAATTTTCATCATCAGCATCATGTTCTAAATGAGGCATCATATCATGTAATTCTTCTATTTCACCAGTTGCTATGTATCTTTTTAAAGCAACAGGTCCTTCTGTTATTGCTTTCTCTAGTTTGGAACCAGCATCAACAGTGATTAATTTTCCATAGATATAAATAGCAGATGGTGTCAATTGTTGAAGTGGTACAGCACCGGGCACTGACTCCACTAAAGCTTGAGTTAAAGCTTCACTGGCGGCATCATCTACCGATGGACCATGATTCCACTGCGCTTGGAAGTTTCTTGGTATAGGTTTACTATATGGTACTTTCTTTATTTTCTTTTCAAATTCCATTGGCACAAAGGTAGTGTCCAGATCTAAGCCAGGTATAACCTTATCAGTATCAGATGAAAATATTTCAACTTTGTCTTCAGGGCCCATTCCAGGTATAACAGCTGGTTCCTCTAAATCATGATCATCTTGGACACCTGGTGGTAAGGTATTCAAATTATATTTGTCTCTCATTTGATCTCCAGGACGATTTCTAGTCCAAAATTTTGATGTGTGATCATTAGAACCTGAACATAATATATGTCCTAAAGGATGCCATGCCATAGTCCATACAATAGACTCATGAGCACCTTCAATACAACCAACTTCTTTATCAGTTCCTACATTCCAGAATAAAATAGCTCCATCTGAACCTCCAGAACAAAATAGACCTTCATGATTTGGGTGCCACACTACACTTGAGGCTTCTTTTTTATGCCCTCTAAATACTTGTAGTTCAGTTCCAAGTTTACGTATATCAAATAATTTTAGTAAATGATCTCTTGATGCAGTTATAAGCCAATTGCCATTATCATTCCATTTTAAATCCATCACTGTAGATTTATGTGCATGAAGAGTTGATAAAGCAGTTCCAGACTTAGGATCCCACAATTTTATTGGTTGTTGATTATCTTTACTTCCTGATACAATAAGAGCTTTTGTTGGATGCCATTGGACACATTTAACATCTGCACCATGACCTCGCAATATTCTTTCTTCTTGACATCTATAGAAATCAAATATACGTAATGTGCCATCATCAGAACAAGTAACAATCTTAGAATCACTAGGGCTAAAACTAATTCCTCTTACTGCTTCCTTATGAGCTTGGTACATTTTAACATTATTCATATTGCTTTGCCAATACTTAATAAATCCGGAGTGATCACCAGTTACCATCCAGCCTTCACCATGTGACCATACCATAGATCTTACTGGTGAATCATGAGCTTGTAAGATTGTTTCAAAATTAAAAGTAAGACCATTCCATAAAGTGAATTCTCCTGAAGACGCTCCAGTTATTAATCTACGACCTTCTGGCGTCCACGCGACTGCGAAGATTGGACATCGCATTTTGTTAGTGGCGGTTTTAACGAAACGTGTTGTGACAGCGTTAATAGGATTATCAGGGTAAGAGGGTGGCGGTAACAAGTCAGGAGTATACATAGCATCCGGTTGCAGTGCGTGCCTGTCCCGCCAGTCTCTTTGCCAAACACGACATTCTAAAGCCTTTATAATAGCAGCATTATAGTCAACAGTTTTACGCATAACAGATTTACGTAGACGTTTACCATCGAAATCATCTTGAGTCATGTTGAGGGGACCCTGAGGTGGGAAGCGCATCTGGTAGTTGAAAGGCCTAAAATTATGGCGTATGTTGTTACGACCTGGTGGGCCCATAGGACCACCCATGCCGGGAGGAGGCATGCTCATATTCGGTGGAGGATGTCCGAAATCCATGTTTAAACTTCAATACCTAATTAGAGAAACATTTATGTTACTACATCATTCATAACAAAGTTGCTAGAGCGCTATTAAAGTAGTTTTGAGGTTTCTTTTCATCTTACCTTGTTTTTAAAAAATACAGGTTGTCATTATACACTTAGCACTTCAACTACACAACACAAAAGTTTTGATTGTCACTATTTAATTGTTAAATGAGAGGAATTAGAAATAAATAAAACAACGTAATCTAACCTATTGAATATAAACTTAACAGTTTGGAAAGATTGCTACCGAAAGCTACATAGCCAACGAACCAAGCCAGCCATGTTTGATCACCTTACCACAGACAAAGACAAGCCACAAACGCGCCACAAATTGGCCACAAATGTGAGAGTTTCGCAGAGTTTCGTATCAAAGTGATTGAACCGAACTTCCAAAAAAAGTTAGAAATTGGTTTTCAAAATTTTAATTGAGTTAATTTAATTTCGTACTTTCGTGGTATTAATGTTAACTGCTTCAATTAAATACATCAAAAAGTATTGCCATATGCATATTTTCAATTTATACTGTTCTCAATCCGTTGCAGTTATTGGAGTTGGAGGCATATTTTATATACTCTTTGGTTGGAGGGGTGGAGCATCTTACTTATTGTACTAATTCTTACTAATGTTAATATTATGAATAGGAAGCTTTAGATGGATGGATAGATTGGTAGTATGTTACTAGGTATCTCCTAAACGGTGAAGCGAATCTCTACAAAATTTGCTATAAATGTAGATAGAGCACAATCTGGACGAAAACATAGGCTACCAATGAACTAGGAAATGAGAACGATACTCGTGCGATCCGTTTGATACACATATTTACCCGATAACTCTGCAACAGTTCAACACGTCTATGTATAACAATCTTCAGTAACACATGAGATATTTTTTACCATTTTTTATTTCAGCGCAGACAAAGTCGTAGGATAAAAGCTTGCGTACCTACCCAAGTTGCAGGAAGCAGAAACAACTGTTGTATTGGCCGGCTTGCCTGCGGAAGTGGTATTTACCGAAATACCGTCGACATACGTGCATACTTAGATGTTCCCCTAACCACAGCCCACTTTCCTTCATCTCCCTCTTTTTTAGATATCAATTGCTTTCCTACATATTGGATGCCAAAATAATTGTATCGTTTTTAGTTATACGACATACGTTAACATACGTTTATTGTTGTAATTTGCTATAATTAATAAGCATCTGACTACCCGACCTACCGTAAACTAAAATAAACCAAAACATTTAGGTTTACGAAACCTTGTGCGCCGACCACAGTAAATGGGATAAAGTAAGGGAGATGATGATGTTTAGTTATATGATTGATATATCAATCTTATTATTTTCAGATGATGTCGAGATTATTTGACAACATCCGTACTTAGAATGAGATGAGATCATTAGCTTTGCTTAGATAAAAAAATCATACTAACTTTAGGCTCAATCGTCAACACGTCATCTTTTTTTATTTATGGCATGTGTAATTTTTTTTGAAATTTAAGTTCATGTTACAGCTTAGCTTATTTATGTGAGTACATATGGCTTAAGCGTGTTTCCAATATCCTGGGTCAGCAACTGAGAGTAGAAAGTTGTAATGACAAATTTCCAATATAGTACTGCGGCCTCCTTCATACGTGATCATAATTATGAGTTAATCCTTTGAAAATAATTTAGACCTAATCACTCTCTCTTAACAGTTAACGTTCCTCGAAATGTTTTCATTTAACTTTGAAACCTAGTTATTAATTTGGAACAAAAGATTAGAAAAAAGTATTTTTTCACTGGATTAGATGCTTTATATATTCCTCATTATATAGGTAGTGTATATTGTACAGTTATTACTGTATATTTGTAAATAAGTGATAAATATAAAAAATATTATAATTTATCAACTTGTACCTTAGCAAATATTATGACAGCAGTTAAAAAGAAAAACTTGCGCGTATAGGTTTATAAGTGACTTTATGATTGCTCATGGTATGATTAAATATTTGATCTGTTAAGGTTTCATGGCATAGTTAAATAGCTCAACATCATGCTCAGTAAAATAGTCACAGTCGACGTCTGTTTAACATCACATCACCATCACATGAGAGCAAGTTAGACATCTTGATAGTAGACATCTACACATATCACAGGAAATTTCTAGTTCGCAAGGTAACATTTTATTTACTAATTTCGTATATAATGTTATGCAGATCATATGATATATTTTTAAATATAATTTGTTATATTTTATTCAATAATAAATATTGAGTTTTATTGAAATTTTTCGTTCTTAGTTATTTTTGTAAAGGAGATAGGGAATGATTAATTTCGTTTATATAATTAAATGCATATAAACGAAAAATACAAATAGTTTGCATTTTCCAATTAAATTTTTTTTCTAAAAAACCACCATATCTTATTATATTATAAATTAGAATTTTTTAAATACATATTATAAAATACATGATGGATAAAGCAAATAGCGTTATACCAACTGTTCACGAAAACTGTAAAAAAAACATGAAATAAAATTGAAAATTAAAAAAAATATTTCTTTGAAGGTTAAGCAATACATTAAGGCGATGATAATCCTATTGTTAATATTGGTGCTCGTTTGCTGCTACTGGGCGTATTGGAGTGTTGAAGCCAGGCGCTTAGACCGGGCCACCGCCACCCTGCCAGGTCCACCGACTCTACCTCTACTGGGAAATGCTACGCTATTCATTGGTAACTCTGAAAGTAAGTTGTAACTTCAACCCCAACAATAAATCTAAATCTTGAAGATTGCTATGTTTAAAAAATAAAATATCGTCATAATCTAAAGATGCAACAAACATATTATGTTATTGTAAAATTACAAACTCCGGTAAGTTGACATACACAAACTAGTTATGCTAATAATCCGATAAGTTTGATTAAGATTTTTGTTTGCTTCCCTTAGTTAATCAGAAGAATTCCTTCAAGTATGTTAGCTTGATAAAATTATATTTTAAAAGAAGATAAACCAATACTTTTTAAAAGTAAAAAACTAAATTATTTTAATTTCCTCCATTGTAGATATATTTTAATCGGATGTTTATCGACTAAATGTCGAGTATTTTTAGTATCTTTATCTGTATTGAGATATATGAAGTGAATGGTGGTAAATCTTTGCAATAAATAAAAACTTTAGGACTTTTACCATACCTAGTTGGCAAAATCAGATTTAACCGGTATATCCTTGGATTGCCCGAGCTTATGCCTTTACAGTGACATATAGGTGTGTTCTATAAATTAAGTACTTACATATGTAAGTGAGAAGTTTTATGTAAATAGAGTTTGTTTGCTTTATTTATTCACATTAGCATTACGCATAGCATTATAACATAATCACGAATCATGTGCTTTTTATAAGATTTTCGTCTTAAATTACATACATATTAGTATTAGTGACATTAATTGAATATTACGCTATTGATTGTTTATAGAAATTGTCAAAACTCTCGATGAAATAGCGGCATTGAGCTATAAACATAAAGGAGCTGCAAAGCTCTGGCTTGGTCCTAAACTTTACGTAGGTGAGTAACTTAGAGTAAGTAGTAACATTTAAAGTTCATATTTGCATATTATTTATAAGATATAATTTAAACGGTGTTTATTTTGAGCCACGTCTCACCGATTGGAAAACGAAAAATGTAATGTAAATGATTAATATTTTTCAGCTGTAAGTAACGCGGAAGACTCGAAAGTTATTCTGGAAAATTGTTTAGACAAAGATGTCGTTTACCGTTTTCTACGGCCATGGCTTGGACATGGACTTTTTGTCGCCCCACGTAAGTACCAAAAAGTATTAAATATTATAACAATATTATAGTTTTATAGAAAATACATCAATAATATTGTACAATTTCAGTTAATTTGTGGAAATCACATAGAAAAGTACTATTACCGGTGTTTAATAATAAAATTGTAGAGGATTATTTAGAAGTAATCGGAGAACAAGCAGACATATTGGTTGAAAGACTTTCTGAACAAATTGGCAAGGGATACTTTGACATACTACGATACGTTACCGCCTGTACACTGGACATCGTATTTGGTAAATATTACATTTTATTTTTTTACTCGTCGAAAGAGCAATGAAAAGGTAGTTTAGTGACTATTTTTAACTGATGCGATCAGAAAAGTTACATTTGCGTTGTCATAAAAGAGAAACGAGCATAAAAATGAAATAAAACTACTATAGGAAGCGTCAGCCAAGGGTAGGAAGTTTGCAGTGGTGCCGACCCCATGAGATGGAACTTATGTGACATGAAATATTAAGTACTTTCGTAATATTTGAATACATTGGGATGTTGATACCTTGACCGCAAATATCGTATCCGTATTATACTAGTTAAAAAGAAGGCGTAGTATTGAGTTTATTTGCTAATGCTTATAAGACTCGGATCTCGCAATACAGTATTGTTTGATCACGTTTATAAAAACAAATAGGTAAGTATTCTGTATACATAGACATAGCATGTGCATTATGTTGTATATAACAGCTAATTTTATCACCTCATGTAACTTGACTTTAATAATAAAAAAATGTCCTTTAAGTTTGAGTTAAATAACATTGATACAAAGTTCCAAGGATAATTATATTTAGGATTTACGATTTAAGATGAGGCTGAGACTTGAGAGCGGATATAATTTGTTAATAGAGACAGCGATGGGTGAACGTATGGATATCCAGCACTCCCCGGACACGCCGTATCTGCGCGCACGACATACCGTCATGACGATTCTTAACATGCGTTTCTTCAAGGTATGGCTCCAACCAGACTGCCTCTTCAATTTGACTTCCTACGCCAAAGAACAGAGCGAGAACATCGATCTTACACATAAGTTTACAGACGAGGTTAGTTTTATATTGCTTTCCAATTAATTGCCAAAATTAAATAGACACAAGAAAGTAAAAAATTTTAAAAGTAGTGGACCGATTTAAAAAAATCTTTACTTTTATATGATTAACGTAAACTAGATATACATATGTATATTATTAGAATTGTTTTTTTTAAATCCGCGCGGACGAAGTCGCCGGCAGAAAGTATTTCAAATACATAAGTATCTAAGTATAATATTTGGTTATTTGATAATTATTTTCATATGTATTTTTAGGTGGTTCGAAAACGACGACTACTATACGAGCGAAATAAATCTAAAGAAAAACATGATAATTCAGGTATTTTATATTTTTAGTTTAACTACTTCAAAAAACTACAAAATATGTTCTATTGCGCAACATAATTCGTGGTTGAAAACGTATAAAATTCAACATTGTATTTACTATACTTATTTTTGCATGCAAATGTTACAAGCGGATAATCAAGTTCTCACTTATGTGTATACAATTCCCATAGACAACAATATCGCACATAATTCAGTACATATATGGCTTACGTAAGCGATATAATCGTAAAATTTAACAACATATGTATGTATTGCTGTAATGGTAAACAATGGGTACTTCACGCTAATGCAATCGAAGAATCGTTTTGCTTATTAACTTCCAGAGTTCAAGACAAACTCGTTATGAACATCTTCTGTTTGGAATTAGTCATATATTATTGCATTAAACTCGAATTATTGACAACTAGCTTTTGCCTGCGACTCCGACAAGCGGAATTAAGAAAAAAAATTAGTAGCCAATTCTTTCAGACTTTGTTCTACATCTATGCCAATTTCAGCGAGATCCATTGATCCGTGCTGCAGATACTTTCTAGCAAACATCTATCCATCCATCCTAACATTCGCATTTATAATATTAGTAAGGATTGGTAAAGTAACATAACATTTAATACAATTTTTACTTTATGTTAGTTACAATAAGAACTTAGAACATTGTTAAACTTGCAATAAACACACATAGACGCATTTTTCAATGGACTAACATCGCCGGTCTACATAAAATATTTGAGCGATTTTAAAGACGCCGCCGGACCCTTCAAGTAATAAATGTAATTTGATAATCATTAAGTACTTAACAATGTTACATTAGCCGAGTAGTTGCGTGCCCTGCTACACAAACATCGCAATATTTTTTTAACTTAAGGTATGCATGGTCCCCATATTTTATCCAAGAAATCTGTGTTCTTCCATCTTATCCACAGATGCTATATTAATTGTTAACAGACGGCAAGCTCCGTGTAGTATTGGACATGTTATTCGGAAGAGAGATAGAATTCACCGATGAACAGCTACGAGAGCACATCGATTCTATAACAATTGCTGGCAACGACACCACCGCGCTGGTTACAGCCTATACCCTCGTTCTGCTTGGTTTACATCACAATGTGCAAGAGGAAGTCTATCAAGAGTACGTTATATATTGTATTTTCCGTTTAAAACCATCCAACATCAAGGCTTGGTACGCGCTGGTCTAAATAAAGACCTCTAAACACGTTGCATTACACTTCGTCAACTGTAATATTTCCGAAAACCAACGTTGTTTAAAATATAAGCTTACTATAATTTACTTCATTTCTTGTGGTTATTATTTCCACGTAATCACAACATTATACGTATGTTTTTTCAGACAACTCTCTATCTTCGGTACATCAAGACGAAATGCTACAAAAGAAGATGTTCAGGACATGCACTGCTTGGAGAGAGTAATAAAGGAAAGCATGCGTCTGTATTGTGTCGTGCCTATCGTAGCTAGAAACATTGACAGGGAATTATATTTACGTAAGTGTATTTATACTATAAATTCCAAACTCTGGCGACTTATTTCAGCTAGGCTTGACTGAGAAACATTACACATAACAGTTTCTTGTTACGATAAATATTATAAAAATTTCCAGCTCACTGCGGAGTAACATTGCCAGCTGGGACAAGCGCGGTAGTTGGATCGTTTGCGGTCCACCGCTCAAAAGTTGAATGGGGTCCGAATGCTGATGAATTTGATCCCGACAGGTTCTTGCCTGAAAGATCTGTTGGTCGACATCCTGCTGCTTTCTTACCATTTAGTTATGGACCCAGAAATTGCATCGGTAAGTATCAAAAACATTTCATTTGTCTTATTTTTTCTTTATGAGTCTGTCTATAGAGCTGGTATACACCAAAAAAGTGATATTTTGGCAATATTATTTCCAGGTCGAAATTTTGGTATGATCATAGCGAAGAGCATAATCTCCAGCATTATTAGATCATACAAAATGGATGCTCAAGATATTGGACCATTGAAAATGGAACTTCTACTGTTTCCTATTAAGGGACATCAAGTTCGCCTTACGAAAAGATAACATGCTTATATAGTCAGAATACCTGATTGTAGATTATCACCTTCTCATTAACTAAGTCTGTGCTGCTGAATTGGCTTAAAATCATGTTTTTATATGAATATTTCGGATATGCGAACTTAAAATATGTCCGATGATTAATGAATTGCAAACCGTTTAGACTAATATATTTATTGTAATTTAATTATAACATCGAAGTGTTTTTTTTATTATTAAATCCGAAGTAACTTTTTTATTATGGTACTTCTGTTGTTTCTTCAGTTTCATTTTGACTATTCTTTTTGTCCTTACCGGGTGAGACTGTATATAGTGTCATGAGCGGTTCCGTGGTATAGTCGAACTCCATAATGGCTTCGTGGTCGATGACATCACGCGAGTCATCTACACCGCACGTCAGGAACTTAGCGTACTTCGTAAGATCGAGGAACCCGACTCCACACGGCCGGTCGATGAGACGCGATGTCATCATACCGAGGACGAATCCCGAACACACGACAACCGAACCAATATCGTCCTTGAAAAAATGACTTTATAGTATATGGAAGGAGAGAAGTCGAACATGTTCTATGCTAGTTCTACTCATTTAGGGTATGTCGATTGCATTGTAAAAATATATATAAAATGTAACTGTACGAGCAAAGTAGAGATTCTGATTGTTGTAAATACAATGAAAGTACCGGTAATGACGTAACATGAGGTGGTTATAGGTCTTGTTGTTTAACACAACTAAAAGATAAAATTAAAATGTCTTACTTACCGGACACAGTGCTCCGTACTTATCATTCTGTTGAGTATAAAATTATTTCCACTTTTACTCTCTACAATTTTGTCTAAAAAAACTTAATGGCAATATTTTGATTACAATTTTTTGTTTTTATGTAGCCTAACTAGGAATAACCTGATTGCGAAACTTATAGTAGTTAATTTATTTATTTCTATTATAAATACTTGTATTTGATTCTTATAATCAAAATAGTAGTTTCCACATAAAAGGTGAAAGATGTGATATGAACGCCAAAAAAAATACGTAGATAATCTATCTCGCATGGTTATGATTTGCGCAGTTTGGATTACTTCGTAAACATGTTAAGTATGCAAAATAAATAATTTAACATGATGGCAACTCAGTCACCGCGGCAGAGTGCGAGCTGGGTTGCCCTAACAAACATGACATACCTTACAACGTGGCTGACGGATGCAAAGATATCTGTTGTCATAATTCCATAAGTTAACGCAATATTTTGACGGCAATAGAGTAATCTCCAATCGATAGAGATGAATTAACACCGGGACTAAGAAACCCTAAAATGTTCAAAGTAATTTTTTTAAATAAAAATCACTAAGGAGTAATACGCGTTCAAACAAGTAGTTAGTTTTATGTATTACACTTACTCCTCTCCTACTTCCCCACCCGTAAAGTCGGCAAGAGCGATCCCTGTGCCTAGTTTCAACGCGAGGCGCCGCTGATCCGTACCTGACCTTATTGACAACGTAATCTGCGCCTTCCTCTGGCTGGTGAAATGAGAACTGTTCGCTTAAGATCAGCAATGCTAGGTTATCCGGCTGACAGTCTTTCCATCGCAACGAATGGTTGTATCCTGTAATTATATAAATATACACGCCAAGGAAACGTTAGTCGAACTGTTGTTGCTAGTCATATTGTTTGTTGTGCTATTCGGTTGGCAGATGAAGTTATAACAAAAAATCCAAAACTAGTGCAAAACTTTTGCTTTATAAGTATATTATATTATATATTATGTATATTATAATATTTACCCACAATACCGTATTATACAAAGATTTTGTAGAAATGAAACAAGCAAAGTAACAACGTGAATGTTTGTAGTCCAAAAATATTACTTACCTTGATGTATACAAAGGTTATTCACCGTTCTACTAATACCAGATTTCTCCAAAAACATGTGACTACCAGCAAATACATCGAACCTATATTTTTCACCAAATACACAACTAGCCGGCGTGAGAACAACGTGGGGTTCTATTATGACACCAGTGCAAAAAACCATAGCGTGCGACAAGTAATAAACCTGGAGAAAAATATTTCAATCATATTTTTATATCATAGTTACCTTTTATTAACTTTTTAAACCGTAGATTTTGTAAGAAAGCGAACTTACGACAAACTGTGCCTCATTGTTGTCTGCTTTCTGGCCGAGAAAACCAGCGGCATTATTAAAATCCATTTCCACTGTAATAATAACATTTCAACGGTTAGGCAAATTACAAGTTAGGAAAAGTGTTCAAATTGTAATTTTGTTCTTAGGATTTATCTTCTAAAAATGTATATCTAGAATATTTACACAATGTCGAAATTCCACCGATCTGCCCTGCCCCCATTATGCAGATTGGAAGATTCGTGTGTCGTGAATCGGATTCCAAAATTTTATATACAGAAGCTAGTAAACGTTATATAAATTGTATAGCACTGTTATTAATCGCTTTAATTACGACGGCAACTCCGTGAAAAAACAAAGTAACTAATCATAAGTTTATGAGATTAACAAAAAAGTCTACAGTAGGATACGAAGTGTTTTGGCTCACTGGTGCCAGTTAATGCTTACATTATTCCAGTTGCATATCAGCGCTGCCATCCTACTGTGCTGGCATTATAAAAACCGAGCATAATGTAAACTAGGCATTAATGGGTATTAACTTCGCCAAGCAGAATGTCAATATTTCATTTGTATTATCTATTTCACAGCTGGCAGCTGTCAACTGTCAAGTCATAGTCAATCGGATTGCTTTCGTAATTCATTCGTATTCGTATGTTACAAACAGAAATATTTTTCATGATTATTGTTTCAAAACATTTGATATGAGTTTTATCAATACACCCACGCTAATGCTACATATTATCTTTAATTTTTAATTTCCTCTTAATGAGATAAATGTTAGCTGAAGCATAATAAAAGCGGTTGCATTAAATCATAGCGAACGGAAACAATCTGAACAATACTTCTATTTAATTTTACCGATTTTATGTTGGTTGAATTAATTTTTGTGCCCTATAATGTGTGTTACTAATACTGTACAATTACTTGCCATATTTATTATTGCGAATATAAGAATATCATCTTCGCAATTTAACAAACATTGGAATGATAAGTATGAAAATATGTGTCCAAAACTTTATCCTAAATATTTTGATAATTACGCACCGGCTGGTAAGTGTATTATAAAGATTTAATACATTTTTTCCATTTATATATTAACAAACCAAAGCAAAAGTACTGCTCAATTAAAATAAGTACTTAAAAAATTATAACTTTAATACAGGGAAACATAGTTAAGGAGCAAAGGTTATAATGAACCAGATTTGTTAAATGTACAATAAAGTATAATACTTTATTGTACATTTATCAAATTATATTAAAGGTTTTATTGTAACATAGTTGTCGCTCGACTCTGTCTTCGCTGAATGGAAAAAAACACTTAATTAGTAGCCTATGTGTTTTTCCTGATTATGTTCTACAGAACTGGATTCATGTCGCCATTCTTTTTATCCTAACGTTAGAAATATATTTAGTATACTAACTAAAATGTTATTCTAAACTAGCTGTCGCCCGCGGCTCAGTCCACACGGAATTAAAAATAAACAATTAGTAGCCTATTGGGTCTTCCAAACTATGTTCTACATTTATACCAAATTTCAGCGAGATCCATGAAACTGTTCCAGAGATACCTTTAAACTACCATTCATCCATCCATCTAAACATTTGCATTTATAATACTAGTAAGATAAGTAAGATTATTTTACATTATAGAATTATTTTTAAAATCATTGTTTTGGTTTTAGGAAATCTCACAGCTGGAAATTTCTCAGAAAAGAAGGAATTAAAAGGTGTAAAGCAATGTGTGATGTCATGTTGCCTTGCCGATTCATGCAATATTGCCTTTATTGTGGATTCTAAATGCTACCATATAGAATGTGTTAGTGATGAACTCTGCTTACCCCTGACAAGAACTGGGCCACATAAGTGGGATTCACATGTTGCTATGATATTAGTTAAACCTGTTTTGCCCAATGGTAACTATAAAAACTTATTTGTTGATGTTATAGGCTGTTTAAATGTTTTGGTGGCTCAAGTTCACTGTGCGGTTCACTACGCGCTCCCTCTGTATCCCTTTAGTACCAATTGGGTTCTGCACAGCAACTCATGCAATGTTGTAAACCCCCAAAATGTTTGACAGAATTAAATAAATAATTTTGTATTGTATGTTATATTCTGGTCACAAATTGTAAAGAAAATGACAACTTTATCACAGTATCATGTATAAAACAAATGTTACCATATGAATTTTTCTTTTTACAGAAAACTGGCTAGAAATTTTAGATCAATCTAATAACAGAGAGGTAACTAACAACTTCTCCCAGGAAGATGAAGTGTACCCACCTTTCACAGGCCGATATACTGACCTATTGACAGAAGACGAGGATTTTCTCTCTCGCTTTCTCAACAACTTACCCAATAACGAAGATGAGGGTACTCAAACATTCAGCAAGTTTAGAGAGAATTCTGATAATGAAATGATAATGGATGCATCTAACTTTCTGGAAAAAGTACCCTGCGTCGTTGGAGTACCTGATGACTGTCCTTTTAACTCTGAATGTGTGTCACTCGGATTGAAGCTACGTAATGGCATATGTAAATGTATAGCGGGCACAGAAGAGAATGCCCAAGGTGCCTGTATTCAATCAACAAGACCTTACTCTAAAGCAGAGACGATACCAATAGATACGAAAAAGGATGACGATTTGGTGGCTGGTGCAAAATTCGGTGATACTAAATCGGACATGCCAGTGCCAAGGCAAAATTTAACTGTATCAATATTATCGAAACAGGTATAGTGGAATCTCACTATTATTGCTCTGCCCACATATCCCTCTCTACATAATGCGCTCAGCAAACTTTGTTATCATCTAACCTAAAAACTTATCATATTGTTAAATTGTTGAATTATCTTTATGAAATGTTGTAATTAATTTATTATTATTATTTCTATACAATCCATGAATCTGAACATTTCAATAATCTTGTACCTTCAGGTTTTTAATAATATTAAGTAGTGCCAAAATACTAAGATTCTATTGTAATTGCATTTTTGTCATATAAAACCAACAATTGTTGATATAAATGTTAAAATTATTATAGATGCATCAATATCAAAAAGCGTCAGAGTCATAAAAGAGTCTAGTACATTCTTATTTTCATGATTTTAGGTGCAACTTCCCGACAATGAGGTTACTTTGGCAGCATATACAATACCCGATGAAAAGGCAACAGGCAGTCATTACAACTATGTTTGGACACTTGTAGATCAACCTAAGGATGGTTTCACTGGTATTATATTGAATATTTATTTTTTAAACTTATAAATTTTAATATTAAACTCTCATATTGTTTTAGTATTAACAAATATCATTTTGATGAATCTAACATCACACAAAACTAATATTATTAATTTATAGGTAACATGAATCAAAATGGACCATCTGTTACATTAACAGACTTAACCGAGGGTCAGTATAGGTTCAAGGTGACTGTTAATGGTACAAATTCATATGGTGAAGGATTTGCTAATGTGACAGTTTTGCCACCGAAGCGTACAAACACTCCACCATTGGTGGTGATAACACCACAAGTACAAACAGTGAAACTGCCCAATTCCGTTGCTGTACTAGACGGCAGTGCCAGTAAGGTAAGATAGAATTATACAATAATATCGTATTTTAAATTAAAAAAAGCGAGTATTGATAAGATTTATTTTTTGTTTCAATACTAGCAGATTATTCGAAGTGTTTTTCTAATATAATAAAATATCAACAAACGCAACTTATTTTTTTAAGATAGTTATTAATTACTAGATTATTGTTGTAGGTTTTTCTAGCACAATCTTATTTTTTTGAATAGATATTACAGTTGTAATAGTGGGTATTGAATCAACAATCATAAGGTCTAAAGTCCTTACCGGTAATCATTAGGCAATTGCGGATTTAATTTCATATTTTTTTACAAAATATGTGAATAATTAATGTACAAAGTGGTGCAGTCTATTAATAAA